CCTGGGGGGGAAACAAGGACCTGGCTAACATACATCCACCTAGCTTTCCACTCACAACCTACATGTCGAGGCGATGCCTCTCAACCCATCTCTAACCATATTCTCATAAAGAGGAAACACGGAGACCAGATATTCTGCGTGCAAAGTCAAGTTGACAAGCCGCGAAGAGGAGGCTGCCCCATCTAGACCAACCTGAAGACATAAAGAAGAAGGACATCATTTGCTCTAGAGCTGAGAAAGCAAATCAGACCGACACCAGCACCCACAACACCAATTGCCACTCGACTGAGGCTGTTCAAAACCCCCTACTAGCCATCGTCACTGCAGAGGCAATTCTACCACCCCCCAGGGAAAAAAAAGCAATAAAAAGTTTTCAAAATATAGTTTAAAAGAGAGGCTTCAGCCAATTCTGTCCCCACTGAAGCCAACAGAAACCGAATCATACAGCTTTTTGGTCTGCTTTTCTAATCTGCGGTCTCTCTCTACCATGGGTCACTGGCTCTTGCTTTAGGGGACACTGGTGACATCAGCCGCTGCCGAGAGGTGGCTGGGTTACTCAGATTAGTCATATCAGCCCACTTGCTGCTGGAATGGAAATAAAAGAAGAAGAAAATCAAATATAACCCTGACCTTAAAAACATTGCCATGGCAGTACACCAGAAGACAAAGCTCTAAGCAAACACCGAGCGAGGAGCGAGACTATGGGCCAAGAGGCTGGGAACCTCTCTCCTCCTAGCGCCTAGAGAATGAGCAGTCGCAGAAAATCCTATTAACAGAAGGAACATGCCAAAAGAGCCTGGCAGTTATTCAGGGAATCACAAGCCAGGGCTGTCAGGCCAAATTAATATCTAAGGGCAAAAGTGAGGAGGGAATATGCTTCCTGGGCAAAAGTCTATCCAGCTCCATTGAAGCCAGTTGTGTTATTGAAAAGAAACAGAAGCAGCATCTCTCCGTGCCACCGTATGCGAGGATCCAAACATTTCAGGCTTGTAGCAAATTATCATCAGTTCATTATCTGCGGGATGCTGAACAGACAGCAATGAAGGGAAGGGCCCTGTCACAATAAACTTCTCATTAAAAAGAGAGAGCTTGCAAGTGAGTGAACAGAGCAAAACAGAGGAGCTGGGAAGTGGCAAAACTAGTATGAGTGTGACCAAGGGCAAAGCAAGGCTTGTAGCTAGCCAGTTCTGCGTTTTCTATTCAGGAGGTTTTATTAATGAATACATTCATTGATTTCTTAGTGTATTAATGACTAATGAGACAAAGCAATAAGAAATCAATGAATAATGAGACAAAGCATAGATTCATTGATTTCTTATTGCTTTGTCTCATTAACTTGTTGCATTCGGTGAGATGAAGAGATTGCTGTACCCACTACTTTCAGCCAGCCTACATTAAGCATCTTCCCCCCTATTGATTTCCAGTGATAACTGGATGCATAACTACTTTTCATGTCTTTGAGAGGTCTCCCCAAGAGTCTACTGAAATGTCAAGCCATTGTGCAGTAGATCCAGCCAGCTCATATATCAAGTCACGAGCTGATTTACCTGATTGGGGTTTCCACCCTGGAAGGATAATAGACAATCCTGTATTTCTTTGGTTGCCTTAGGGGAGGACTCCAGGTAAGATGCATGCTTCTGGAGGTCACTTCTGATATATAAAGGTCAGGGGGTTCAAATGGGGTCCTGCATGAGCAGGGGCAAATTTCACGGGACTGCCTAAGAAGCCAGAATGTGGTTACCTTCTCAAACTGCCTTTTCTGCCCATGTATACTTTCTAGCTCATAAATTAGTGATATGTTCTAACCAAGTTACAGACTTCTTCCCTCAAAAGTATGGAAAATGATCCAGCCAGCCACCCATGAGATCAACTCTGCAAAGTTGGGCATGGGGAAGAATATAAATACTCCGCTGAGAACAAACTGTGTATCTTGTAGGATGCTGGCAACATATTTTAAATCTGAGCGTGAATCATTGCCATTGATTCAACAGATGGCCCAGGCCTTTGCCAGTTCCAAAGAGTTAGAGAAATTGAACAAGCAAACATAATTTTAAAAAGCAGCCCATTTTCTCGGGGCTAACTTGCGTCTGCCTTAATTATATCAAACAAGTATGGATTAATAGAGATGAGTCAATTTATTTTGCTGGAATTTCAAATCCACTTGAATAAAGCTGTGTTCGAAAGTTAGATGCTCCCATTCTGCATATGAAAAACGATGAGAAAAAATGAGCAGGGAGAAAAGATTATAACTTTGTGCGGGGAAGAAGGAGGGCTGTGTGTATATTCCTGGGCATCCAGCTTACCATTTGGTCTTTGATCCCTAGTTCGTGGCACCAACCACAACCCCCACAAGTGTTTTTTACTTGCCTATCCCCTGCAGATGCACAGTTTAAATTATAGTTGGAGATAGGTTCAACCTTAATACTCCTGCAGTCCCTCTCTCCAAGAACCCTTTAAAAGCCCATTGTGTTCATCAGCAGATCCCTTGTTTCTTCTGACATCTCAGCAATGCACTCGGGAGGCAGTAGTACATCCCAGAGGAGGTCCAGGAAGGAGGATGCATTTATCCTGCCTTCACAAAGTATACAACTGGAGGGAGAAATCTTCTTTCTCTCCTCCCCCATGGTTTATTGTGACTATTATGTCCTTGCAGTACTACCTCCTGAGTGCTAGGTGCTTTCCAAATGCAGAGCGTTTCAACGAGGGGAACCAACCCATGGCCAAGGAAGAAGAGTTGGGCCATGGCAGGGAACACAGACAGCGAGTGGGGCTGAAGGGCAAAGGAGGCTTCACCTCACCTGTGTTTTCACTCTTGCTCCTGTCTTTGATCCTGCTGCACAGGACCTGGGTGAGCCTGCTGACCAGCGAGCCGAGCAGAGGGAAATCCAGCACGTTGTACACCGTGAGCTCCAAGGGCTCCGAGGCCACCTGCCTCAACTCTGCCTCATCTGCATTTTTCACCCCTGCAAACACAAAGTGCAGACAGCAAGTCAGCGGAGACCTGCTGGGTAATGCTAAAGATAGACAGGTCTTCCTTCTGCCATTGCACCCTCAGCAGGGACCGGACACAACTGCAATGGCTGTGCTCGCCTGGTGGCCAAGTGGCCTGGCCATCCCCATGGAGGGGACTGTTCTGCAGTGTCCCCAAGGCTTGTCTACAATCCAGACCACAAGAAGCACATCTGGATTGTTTTTTTAACTCTGCAGAGTCAAGGGGACTTTCTTCGGTGGCCTAGAGTGATCCTGGTGAACGCTCACCGTATTCCCTCTCCATCACATTGCACCGGGCGGCACTAGGCAGGAGGATGATATTGTTACGCTAAAGGACAAACACCACCGAGGTGGACATCCATGAATGCAGAAATAATTGTCTGTTATTTGCAGGGCACCAGCTTGCCCCACCGGGGATCTGTTGTCCATCGTGATATTGTATTGCTCTTCAGCAGCGTGGGTCATGTCTTCCTCCTTCATTACATTCACTGCTCACAGAGGTCAATGATCACACTAGGTTCAGGACAGTGGGGAATCAGCTCCACTTCTTATGGCCCTTCAAATGCCTCCTGGCACATTAAAGAGACAGAGATCCTCAGGTGATGTCTAGTGCGTGCCCAAAGAAATCAGTGCAGCTGCTCCAAGGGACGTCCAGAAGGGATGTGGCCACTGGTCTGCAGTTCTCTGGGAGTAATGCTTTCTTGAGTTGTCCTTTGGGTAACAGGCATAAAGGAGCAAGCACCAAAAGGGATCTTGCATGATCTCAAACATCATACACATATTTCCCAACTCTAGCAGGCCTAGAAATAAGATCAAACCAAAACCTTGGACTTAAGCCTTCCTGCATGTTGGGAAAGAGCCAGGCTTGAGCTGGGCCATGGCTTGACCTGGGATCCACCTCCATAACTCCTCGCCATGTTATTCAGGGAGGTGAAGGGCGTGTTTACACAGTAACACTCAGCAAAATTAAATCCGAATGAACTTTTAAAGTGGATTAATAACCCACGCTGCACTCTTCTGTAGGTGCCCTCTGTGGACACATGTATATGGGATTTTAAATGGCTTTAATTTGGTTTACCTTAATTCATTTTGAGGTAAATTAAGCTAAACTAAATTGAAGCAAGTCTAATACTTAACGAGATTGTCCGAGGGGGACTGCAGTTTAAGTAATCCACTTTGATTCCTAATTTTAGTTAATTCAGATTAACGTTCCCAGATGTCCCTGTGTAGACAAATCCCTAAAAGAACACTCTTTTTACTTGTTCAGCAACCTTATTACTTAGCCTCAGGAGGCAGCTTCTCATCATTATCCAGCCAGCTGTGCCTTACATGTCCTTCTCGTGACAAATTAAACCCAGGGGGCCTGTAGGG